GATCTTTGGTACTGCACAGGGGTGGCGGCGTTCAATGCGCGGTAATCTATACACATCCGCAACCCTTCGTCTTTCTTGGGTGCGAAAAGGATCAGTGCTGCCCAAGGCGATCTAGATGGCTGTATGAACCCCTGTGCTAGGAAATGCCTAACCTGCTGCGTCATCTCCTCTCTCTCTACTGGACTCAACCTCCTCTGAGATTTCGCTACTAACCTGCTCCCCGGCTCCAACTCTATTCGATGGTCTACTACTCGGATGGGAGGCAACCCTGGGGGCATCTCATCAAGGAAGATGTCTGGAAGCTCTGCTAACAGTGCACTCACCTCAGCAGGAAGAGTTTTCTGCTCACCAACTGTTGCGCACCCTCCTTTCCCCTCCTCAGCTTCCACCTCCTCAAGGAAAACCGCGAAGATCCGTGCCGCTCGCTTCACCAACTGTCGCACACGAACAGCATTGATGATAGCTGTGGATGATGTGGCCCCATCGCTCCACTGTGGCAGCTCCCAGACCTCGCCATCTACCTTGATGCTGCAGCTTCCCGGAGCACAATCAAACTAAGTACTAACCATCCGCAACCAATCCCTACCGAAGATGAAGTCGTAGTCGTCTAGCGTCGCAGAGTCATCCTAGCACTATGTGCAACTTGCGAATGATCGATCCTATGTGGAGCGGCGTCCCATCTACCATGCGAGCGTCTTTGAATTTGACTGCAGAATCTGATTCAAAAAGGAGATGACTAACTAGCGATGAAGAAACAAACGAGTAGCTAGCTCCGCTATCTACGAGAATCTTGACTGGAACTCCACGAAGCTTCCCTAGAAGCACGACTGGACGATCAACAGTGTCTATCGAGTTCGACGTAGATGACTACTCCATGGCCGTCTCCTCTACGTTGTAAGACGTGGCGGGTACGGAAGCCTCCACACCAGCTAGCGACCCGCTACATACTGGCGGTTTCCGCTTCCCTGCTGTTGCTCCTTAAGCTGTAGGTAGTCCCGCTTCATGTGTCCCGGCCTTTTGCAGTAGTGACAGTTCCCCCTAAAACCCATTTGCTATGAGCTGTCACTATTATCTGCACCAATCTCCGTGGGCGATGGTCCGTCCCTCGATCGAGTGTCAGTGATCGCTTTGTGTCCCCTTTTGCGATCGCCATGACCCCGTCGGCTTCGTACTGCGTCGACGCGTTCTGCTGCTGCGACTACTGACTCGAAGGTGGACAACCCGTTATGTCCGGCTTCAACTCTCGAGGTAGCGATCGCGCATCTCTGCTTCCGTGATGTCGTCTATCTCGTTGCAGATGCTCAAGAACCGTCGTGTGCACTCGTGGACGCTTCCAATATGTCGGAAATAATGCAGACGCTTCCTAGCAGCTTCGGAGGCGTTCACCAAATCGAACCTACTTTTCAGCGCCGCTTCAAATCCTTCCCATGTCGTCGGAACCGTGGTAACACCCAAAGCTAAACTCCCTAAGCTCGAAGTTGCAGCTGCATGCCCCACACCTTTTTGATTTAGCTGAGCCCTCCGTACAGCAGTCTGCGTAAGTTGGCGCCACCACTCCAAGGCCGGGCCCCTCAGCAATCTAACGGAGTACTCCATCCGCTGGTGCGCGTCCGTCTCTTGCACCCCGCTCGCGGCAAAGTAGTTGTTCAGCATAAAGATCCACATTCGCACGTTCGCATCGCGTTGACTTGGGTTTAACAGCTCGAGTTTCTACAGCTAAAGCGCAATTCAATGTTCCGGCAGCGCTTCCGCGCTAGTCGGCGTATTGGGTGCAGAAGATGTGCAGGTATGACCATGGGGGTTAGAAGACAAATTGCGAAGTTGTTGCATTTCGGCTCGTACCTGACGATTTTCCAACGTCAATTCTTCGAGTTGACGCATGAGCTCGGCAAGCGTGTTGCCCATGTCGTGGGGGAAAGCGTGCATGATTTCGTCCATGTCGGCTCGACGACTCCAAGTCTGCAAGTCGGCATCGCGAGACAATGACGTCCTAGTCTCGTCGTCGACGGTCGCTCGTTGGAAGTCGCTCCCCGCGAAGGCTCTGATACCAAGTGTTAGGCCCCTTGTCCTAAAACCGCTAAAGAATGGCGGGGTCGACCAATTCGAGGATGAAAACGCGGCGTAAAACTTTGGTGAAAGAACTATTGGCGAAATATGCGAAGGAGTTACTGAATACTTGAATAGTTGTATGCGAATTGGTTGTTAATGGTGGGTACAAGCAAGGTTTAAGTAGCATGCAAGATCGAATGTCGGAAAGTAGTTTGTGGGAATAGGAATTGGAAGGCAAGAGAACTGGAGTGCCAAGTGGCCCTTGGAAATCTTGGAAATTATGGATGAGTTGGATGAAGATAAGGTTGGGATGGGGTTGGGATACTGTTTAGGGTAAACAACCCTTGAACAGTGAACTACGTAACATCGTTAGTTGTTCAAAATTGAAGACACCAAAAAGTTCCACCTTTCAAGTCCCGACCAGCTTGTGTCCGGACATGGAGGCCCAGGCGTCCGTACAAACGCTGTTCGGTCGCTTTGGGAGTGAAGTCCGGACATTCGCCGGTTCGGAAAAAAATTACACGCCCTAAGTTCCGAGGGGGCGCGTGTCTTTTGGTGTAGATGTTCGGAAATTTAGTTGAACTTTTGTTGTCTTTTGCTGCTGCTGCTGTGCTGAAGACTCCGGTCGCGGGCCCCACGGCGCATCCGATCTCGGCTACTGTTGTTCCGTCGAAGTCGGCGCGTACTATGTTTGCTGAAGAGGATTCAGAGTCATTGGCATTGTCAGCCAAGCTGGCGGCTATCCAGATTGAACAAGCTGCTGAAGGGAAAGCGGAAAATGGCAAGGGAAAAGACACGGATTTCAAAGACGCAGTTTCTGAGGCGGAAGAGGAACATACTAAGGAAGATGACGACGGTGTTTCATCTGGTGCTGCTCGCCGGGTCAGCTTTCTGGATGATGAAGACGACGGCCTAGTGGCTCACGATCCGAAAGAATGCTTCGAGGATAAGGCGAAGGAGGATCTGGCGGCGAAGCTGCGCTTCCCGCTTACCTTGTTGATTCCAAGTGACAACCTGCAAGAAGTTCGTCGCACGCAGGCGAGAGTTAAGGAGCTGCTCGGGATGTGGGAGAATGAGCTTACGGAAAATGCGGAGTCAACGACGACGTTCCAGGAGCTTAATCCGGGTTACATTTCTAAGAAGTTGTATGGTCGTATGCAAGTTATTTTCGTCGCTGCTTCTGATGCTAACTCTGTCTGGCGCAACCGTACTGAGCACCAGTGTGTGGATGGGAAGTATATCTTCCTGGACTGGCTGTATCTTGAAGATCCTAGCTATACTAAGCGGAAGATTACTGACCCGTTGGTTACTGAAGTGTTGTTTCTGGGTGTCGCTGCGGAGATCTCCCCGGAAATGCTCCATGAAGCCCTTGCTGTCTCTCCGCTGAAATTCTGCAAGCGTCTGGCCTTCAAAGCTGGTTTTTGCTTCCACCGCGTGGTGCATCCTGTTTCGAGGCTCGACAGAGGTCGGGTGAAGGGCTTGGTTGTCACTCATGAGAATGACAAGTTTCGGTGGCTGCATTTCTTTGAGAACCCTGTTTCTCCCAGCGTGAAGATCATGGTGCACTACCCAGCGTTGAAATGTTCGCTTAGCAGGGGGATGCACTCGGTGCACAACCACAACGACTTTGTTACTGAGCCACAAAGCAACATCTCCAAGTGGAACCTCACAGTGGGGAGGGTCCAGGAGCTCAACGGTAAAGATGATGGCTTCTACTTACCTTTTTGTGCTGTCGCTGTTTTCCTTCGATTGGCGGTGTCTGATGTCTAGCTGCTTACCTCCCACCCGTGCAGCGGCTGCGACAGTAGCCACGACGACAACCAAGATCGTCTTCAAGGACCCTGCGCTGGTACTGGTCTCAACGGCCGGCAACAGGGAGGAGAGGATTTGCCTGCTGGAATGTTGCGAGAAGGGGAAATGCTCCTCCTTCAAGAAGGCTACTCATCATGCGCTGTCTCAGCGACATCGGGGGGGACTAGCAAAGCAGGGTGCTGCGACGCGTGCTCTCAAGGCCAATCTGAGCCTTCGCATGCTGCGCAAGGAGTACGGAATCTAGTGGTTGCAGCATGGTGGAGAGAGAGGGAATCAGACGAGTCATGGCCAAGATCATGTATGCTGTATGCAATGCTTTATGGTGGTAACCTTTCTTGTTTCAGATACCTTCCTTCAGCCCGTGGATGCTTTGGGGCTCTCACCTGGTTGATTAATGGATAAGCCTTGCAACCTGTCCGTGTGCGAGCTCAATGTTAATGGGCTCGGGAGCAGAGGAAAGCAACGTAATTTGAAAAAGTGGACAAGGAAGGAAACGGACATCTTCGTTGTAACAGATACGCGTGTTGAAAGCTGGAAGCGGTTGAATTTTCATCACTGCCTCATGATGGCAAATACAGAGAGAGTAGGAGGTGTGGCCATTGTCAGCAACAATAAGCAGTTAGTCTTTGAAAATGAAGTTCTACATGCCTCGGGAAGACTCATTCAAGTGGATATCAGATGGCAGTTTTACCGTCCTGGCCACGTACCTTCCCGCGAGTGCATGTTGCCGGTTTACCTTCTTCAGGGACGTGTTGGGTCCCTTTCTTTCGAACCTGAACGGTCGGAGCCGACTGCTTCTTGCTGGGGATATCAATGTCGTGGAAGACGCGATTCTGGATAGGTCTTCGAGTGGTGGCTCGCGCGGGGAAAAGGAGAGGCTGATGCAGTAGTTTGGGGGCCTTCAGATGGCGGATGTGTATCGGACGCTAAACCGTGGCGGTCGGGAGTACACCTTCTATGCCCAAGCGACTAAGTCCAGCTCGAGGATCGACCGGATTGTGGTGTCGGCTGAGTTGCTCCCATCGGTGGTTGCGGCGGCTCACACGCGTCCGCTGAAAGGAATATCGGACCACAAATTCGGCATCAAAGTGGTGTTGCAGGCGATCTTGAGGTTGCACATGGGCCCGGGTATCTGGCGGATGCCTTCTGCAGACACGGCGAAACCAGGGGTGGAAAAGGTGGTTAGAACAGTCACGGAAATGCATCAAGTAGGGAAGTCGGGGAACTTTGGTACCCTCCTTACCAAGCTTAAAGCGGCGCTCAGGAGGTACGCGACGGAGGAACGAAAGAGGGTGCGGGCGACTTTGCGGCATCTGGAGCTGGCGGTTTCTGGCTTGCAGCTGTGATGCGGGAGTCCCACCGGGTTGATTTGCGAGCTATTCTGCTGGAGAAGGAGGCACAACTAGAGGCATACCTGAAAGGGGAAAATGAGAGGCTGCATCTCCTAGCGGGGGTGAGAGAGGAGACAAAAGGGGAGATCGAGTTGAAGGTGCTCTCTGCGAAGGTGAAATCAAAGAAGACAAGGACTATGATCACTGCTCTGTCGTCGAAGGGGGTGGAGCAGAGGGGAACAAAAGGAATCCTGGAGGCTGCCTCTAGCTTTTACTCAGCGCTTTTTGCAGAGGCCCCCTCGTCGGGTCTACCGTGCTAGAAACCGGACTTCGGGAAGACACTTGGAAGGGAGGAGGAGGCCGAGCTGGAGTTGGACTGGTCAGAGGAAGAGGTTAAAGAAGCACTGAAGGGCATGGCATGCGGTAAATCTCCAGGCAACGACGGGTTGCCAAAGGAGCTCTTCGAACGACATTGGGACCTATTGAAGGGAGATTTCATGGGTTTTGTTCAGAAGTTTGAGGAAACGACGATACTCCCAGAGGAGGTGCAGGAGGCAGTGACCATACTGCTACACAAGAAGGGTCCAAAGGAGCTGGTGCAGAACTACAGGCCAATTACCTTGTTGACGAGCTCCTACAAGGTGGTGGCGAAGATGCTGGCCAACCGCATGAAGAAGGTCTTGGGAAGGGTCATTTCAGAGGAGTAGCATGACTTTCTCCCTGGAAGGTGCCTCTTGGATTCAGTCTCGACGGTTGCGGATGTGATCGAAGCTGCTAACAATGATAGTGAAGATTGGTACCTGCTGATGGTGGAATTTTAAAAGGCCTTCGACTCGGTGTCATGGTCTTTCCTTTTCGACACGATGGCGACGATGGGTTTTCCGGAAAAGTTCGTTGGCTGGTGCAGGGGCCTGCATGGTGGGTCCTTCACCCGGCTCTTGGTCAATGGCTGGCTGGGTGAGCGGGTTGATGTCTGCAAGGGGGTCCGGCAAGGCTGTCCGCTTGCGCCGTACCTCTTCCTGTGCGCAGTAGAGCCAATCTGCCAGGAAGCAAAGCGCAGGAGGTTAGGCATCTGTGATGACTACGGAGACCGGCTAGCCTACCTCGGTTATGCTGACGACACAACATTGGTGCTGAAAGGAAAGCAGCAGATCGGAAGAGCAGAGCCGCTTCTGGAGGAGTTCGGGGCCCGCTCTGGCCTCCGGCGATACTTCCGCTGGGGAAAAATCTGGAAAAGGGCAAGGACAAAGAGTCAGATTTCACGTGGATTGAGCCAAAGGACGCAGAGAGACTGCTGGATGTTTGGGTATCTCCATCAGGAAATGCCGAGGTTACCTGGGAGAAAGCGCTGGCCAGGGCGGCAGAGGAGCTGGTGAAGTGGCAGTCACAGCATCTTACCATGACAGCGAGGGTGGCGGTGGTGAATGCTTACGTCTGTCCAATCTTAGCCTTCGAGGGGCAGGTCTACCTTTCAAAATATATTGTGTAGGCTATAGTGGGGTAGCCCATAAGGGGTACAACCCAAATTAGGGTTAGGCATATTCGCTCAATGCATTCATTCCTGCCTGTTAGTTCTCAATACTACCCGCCGTCGGACCAGGTGTGGAAGCGAATCATGAAGTTTCTTGTGAACTTCATCTCAGGCAACCGAGTGTCGAAAGAGCACCACTTCTCGCTTTGGAGTAGGGAGCTGATCTTCAGGTCACGGAAGGGCGGAGGACTGGGAGTGCGTGACCCTTTCATTGAACTCAGCGGCTTGGCTGCCAGGCGAGTGGGGAAGCTGGTGTTAAACAACAGGGGAGTCCGTAGATGGTTGGCGATGAAGGCGGCGGACCTCCCCGGGGGTTTTCGCTCCTTCTGGGTGCATGAGGAGTTCCTGCAGGATTGGAAGGGGCGCAGTGTGAGATGGAAACAGACGTGTGAGGCTTTCATCAGGTCTAAGATAGCAAAGGAAGGGCCGAAATCAAGATGGGATATCGCACAAGAACCGCTGCTGTTCAATCAACAAGTTATGCCGAACGGGAAGAAACCAATAGGTCGGCAAAAGGCGGCGAAGGTTCTGGAGCTAATTCAATTGGGAGACTTCGTCAATTGTGCGGAGGATAGCACACGCTCGCTCAAAGATGGAAAGCACGCTGGCCGGGGAGCTGGGCACGGTCAAGAAGGTGAGAAAGACGCTTAAAATCTTCAGTAGTGTTCCGGCCTCCTGGAATGTGAAGCTGCTAGCGCTTATCATGGGGCAAGAGTTCCTGGAGGCGTCGTCGCACGTAAAGGAAATTGGCATGGTGGGAGTCTGAAAGGTGGATGCGGCGGTGCAAGAAGGGCTTGCCTGCCAAGCATGTGACTGTTTTGGTGAACCCTTGGTGGGAAATGTGGAACATGATGGAACCATTGATGGTGTGAAAAGGAAGGGTGATCGAGGTGGGTGGTCTGCCTGAGGTACGGCTGCGATGTTCAGAGCTGTGCGCAGGCGATCAAATCCCCCCGTTCAGGCGTCTGAGAGAGTTGTTTGGCGCGCAGCAGGGAGCAATGCTCCAGCAACAAAGATGGGCGGAGAACTGGGGGAGTATCATTGATTGGAAGAGACTCATCAGGGTGCGGGATTCTGCACTGCTTCCGAAACGTGCACGGGATGTGTTGCTCCGGCTGCACTGTCGGAATCTGCACGTCGGGGTGAGGCTCAGGTTTCTTGAGGGGGTGACATGACCGCACTGCGGTGGTGATTGTTGCCCTCCGCCTTTTCAACCCGGGCAGGAAGATCACATCGATGGGGGATCTGCTCTTTCAAAAGGAAGGTTCTGGGTCGGGCTTTCCAGAGGCAACAATCACCGCTATCGCCCTCCACAAGATCTGGGCGGAGAGGTGTGACGCGGCATTCGAGAGGGGTCAGTTTCGGTCCAAAAGAGTCTTGCGCAGAATTGCAGCAGCTTTCTACACTCACACGAGGGTTTATCTGCGTGCCAAGAAGGGGAGCAAACGGGCAGGTGCTGTGTTGGGGCTGAGGCAACGCTCCATTTTGGAGCGGCTGGACCCGGACGAATTCCGACTGCTGAGCAGGGCCTGTGACAGCTCGGCAAAAACACTTGCGTGGACCAGTGGTTTCACCTCCATCTGGGCCAACCCGCGCACTGTTTTTTCGTCCCCCATAAAGAGACAGGATGAGTACGACGACTAGTTGTTGTCTAGGCCCATCGGCTACAGTTACGACTGTTAATGCTTGTATGCACTGTTAAAGTGGATCTTGCATTGCCCAAAAATAAAAGAGAGAGAGAGAGAGAAAAAAAAAAAAAAAACCGCACCAGCACTCGACAAAGACATAATTAATTTCGCAGCAACACTTCTTCTCGGACCAGCAATTGAATGGATAAGCGGAAGCGGTTTATTAAACCAAGGCGAAGCGACGTGGCAGCAGTTCCGTGAAAGATTACTACAACGTTTCGAGCTGATAAATGCAACGTTAATCACCCGCGACAAAATACATTGTCATCGACAAATCGGGAGCGTCGCGAACTACACGCAACAAATGGAGGAGTTGTTCAACCGCATCCCCGACATCACCGAAGGCGAAAAAATTAGAGCATTTATCGCACGGCTGAAAAACGAAACACGTTGCGGCCGCAATTTGGAGCAGCTACAATGACGTTGTCTCGGCAGCAAAACATTTCGACATAATCACGATCGGAACACGACAACTTCAAAGACGAGCTAGACGACATGGAGGACGCTTGGCTACCCCCACGTGCGCCGACCCGATGGTACTCGATCGAATTGACACGAAGGCAAGACCAAAGAAGAACAAATCTAAGTGTTCTTTCTTCGACAAGCTGGGACATCGACTCATCGATTGTGACGAAATGAAAACCGCACGTTCAGCGCTTCGGGACCGCAGCAGTAAAGCAGATTCAATGCGAAAATTGGAGGATCGTGGAGTGAATTCTTCAACCCACGAACGGACTCTACCAGGGAAAATCGCCGATGAAAATAAAATCTCCGCGAAACAAGACCCTGCTGGACCCGGACAACTCCAAAAAGGCCCTGTAAAATGACATTATTTAAAAATAACATACAAGGATGCTTTATTTGGGAAAAACTCCCCTGGGTCTACGGCCTTGGTGAAATTTGGAGAGAGGCTCCTAAAGAAAAAAAAATGTATCGGTACGACAACTGCAGCAGATGCGCATGGGGAACCAACAACGGAGCGTGGAAGATCGACCTTCCAACGACGACATCGTCCTCTCTCAGAACAACCAGCCCACGTCGACCAACCGGTCCCCACGGAAGAAGTCGGTGGCGCTGAAGCAGCTCAAGAGGGAGCTGGAGGTCAACATGAAGCTGCGACAACGTCAAACCTCTTCAACAGATGCATCTGCAACATCATCTGCAACATCTACCCTACGAGGAAATAATATTACGAGCTCGATAACCACACCGTCGACGACAACAAAAAATCATCGCAATAGGGAAAGGCAGGACTGTCAAACATTGTATGTTTATATTGTGTAGGCTATAGTGGGTCTAGCCTTAGAGGGTACACAAACTTAGGGTTTCATACTTGTACCCACCTTCCTGCTAGTTCATCCATTCCTCGTTCAGTTATTCTGACATGGTTTCAGAGCAGGTCCTTCGCTAGGACCTAAGTTTTTTTTTTTTCGGGCCCACCTCTACTAACTACTTCCTAGCGCCTTAGTGCGCCCTACTGTCGGAGTGCTGCGTTAGCGCCTCCCCCTCTGCGCCCTTGTGCGCTCTACCTTACGTGCGCCCTCGTGCGCCCTCGTGCGCCTTTCTCTGCTAGTGCGCCTTCGTGCGCCCTCGTGCGCCCTCGTACGCCCTCGTGCGCCCTCGTGCACTCTCGAGCTGCCCCTGCAGGTCCGTCAGGCCAGTGCGCAGCCTCTGCACGACCGCACGCCGCCCCTGCAGGCTCTCGCCGCCCGCCGCGTCGCCCTGCCCGTGGCGTCACCGCCTCCCCGCGGCGTCGTCGCCTGCCCGCGACGTAGCCCCTGTCCGCGGCGTCGTCGCCTGCCCGCGACGCAGCCCCTGCCCGCGGCGTCGTCGCCTGCCCGCGACGTCGTCGCCTGCCCGCGGCGTCGTCGCCTGCCCGCGACATCGGCGCCTGCCCGCGGCGTCGTCGCCTGCTCGCGGCGTCGTCGCCTGCTCGCGGCGTCGTCGCCTGCCTGCGGCGTCGTCGCCTGCCCGCGGCGTCGTCCCCTGCCCGCGGCGTCGGCGCCTGCCCGCGGCGTCGTCGCCTGCCCGCGGCGTCGCCGCCTGCCCGCGGCGTCGCCACCTGCCCGCCGCGTCGCCCTGCCCGCGGCGTCGCCACCTGCCCGCCGCGTCGCCACCTGCCCGCCGCGTCGCCACCTGCCCGCCGCGTCGCCCTTCTCGCCGCGTCGCCCTGACCTAATCCGCCTCTCGCCCCTGGAGCAGCCGCCACTGCAGCAGCAGCCCCTGGAGCAGCCGCCACTGCAGCAGCAGCCCCTGGAGCCGCCCGCCACTGCAGTAGCAGCCCCTGGAGCCGCCCGCCACTGCAGCAGCAGCCCCTGGAGCCGCTCGCCACTGCAGCAGCCGCCCCTGGAGCCGCCTGCCACTGCAGCGGCCCCCTCTGGAGCAGCACGTACCTGCAGCAGCCGCCCCTGGAGCAGCCCGCACCTGCAGCACCTGTCCCTGGCCCCTGGAGCAACCACAGCTGCAGCAGCCGCCCCTGGCCCCTGGA